GTACAATGTACGAAACTGGAAAGGCTGCCCAGATAGCCGCTGAAATGAGAAGGTACAGAATAGAAGTGTTGGGAATCTGCGAGAGCAGATGGAACGGAACTGGAAGGTGCCAACTACCTACTGGAGAGACAGTAATCTTTTCCGGCCACCCAGAGGACAACCATGAGCACACCGAGGGAGTGGCCATCATGATGTCACCAACAGCAACCAAAGCTCTCATGCAGTGGGAACCAATCTCCTCCAGGATAATGACAGCCAGGTTCAACTCAAAAGGAAGGAAAGTTACAGTCATTCAATGTTATGCGCCTACAAACGTCTCAGAACAAGAGAAGAAGGAGGCGTTCTACAGACAACTACAAGCAATAATGGACAACGTCCCAAATGGCGATATCAAAATCCTGATGGGCGACATGAATGCGAAGCTGGGACGAGACAACACAGGAAGAGAACTCACCATGGGTCGTGAGGCCCTCGGTGAAATGAACGACAATGGTGAACTCTTCTCAGACTTCTGCGCCTTCAATGATTTGGTGATTGGTGACAGTGTGTTCAAACACAAGGATATACACAAGACGACATGGATTTCACCAGATGGAAACACCAAGAACCAAATAGACTTCATCTCAATTTCAAGAAAGTGGAGACGGAGCCTACTGGACACAAGGTCAAGGAGAGGAGCAGATGTGGGTTCAGACCACTATCTAGTAGAAGGGACTTTCAAGGTGAAACTAAAAGCCTCGAGGATAGCTGGGGATAGGCCACAATGCAAGTTCAACACTCAATTACTGAAGGACACAACCACAAAAGACACCTTCACTGCAACTGTCAGAGCAAAGCAGGAAACACTACGCGACATCACTGAAGAATCATGCGTGGAAGAACATTGGAAGTCTCTGAAGGCGATTCTCAACGAAACGTGTTCAACGGTTCTAGGAAGAAAGAAGAGACAAGACAAGGAATGGCTCTCAACGGACACTTGGAAATTAATAGAAGAGAGGAGAATGGTGAAAGAGAAAATGATTCAATGCAAGGACGGACAGGAGAAAGACATGCTGAGCTCAACTTACAAAGCACTGGACAAAGAAGTGAAGAAGAGTGCTAGGAAGGACAAAAGACGATTCTACGACAATCTGGCCACTGAAGCTGAGAAGGCAGCAGGCAAAAGGGACCTGAGGACACTATATCAGATAACCAAATCTCTATCCGGGAAGAGATCAACACAAGCGAAACCTATAAAAGACAGCCAAGGGAACCCAATTACCAAGGAAGAAAAACAGATTAAACAATGGGCGGATCACTTCAAAGGACTCTTGAACCGACCATCACCTGCAACCCGTCCAGAAATACCAACAACAGCGCGCACACAACTGCAAGTTGACACCAATCCTCCAACGAGAGCTGAAGTCTTGAACGCAATCAAGCTTCTGAAAGCTGGAAAAGCAGCCGGACCAGATGGAATACCCCCTGAAGCACTGAAAGCGGACCCAGAGACTACAGCAGACATGCTGACTCCATTATTGCAAAAGGTCTGGAAGGAGGGAAAGGTGCCTACTGACTGGAGGAAAGGTTACCTCGTGAAACTACCAAAGAAGGGCGACTTAGGATCCACTCTGCAAGAACTGGCGAGGAATCATGCTCCTATCGACGCCAAGTAAAATCCTGAGTCGCATCATCCTGGAGAGATTAAAGGACGCACTGGAGACAGAACTCCGACCAGAACAAGCTGGATTCAGGAAAGGCAAATCATGTACTGACCAAATTGCAACTCTACGCATCATCATCTCAGAACAAAGCATGGAATGGCAATCAAACCTCTACCTCAACTTTATAGACTTTGAGAAGGCCTTCGACAGCGTTGACCGTGAAGTAATTTGGAAATTACTCGAGTACTATGGCGTACCCCAAATATTCATCAACCTTATTCAACAGCTGTACGACAACGGCACATGTCAAGTGATCCACAACGGAAAACTCAGCAAGGCGTTTGGAGTAAACACAGGAGTCAGACAAGGGTGCTTACTATCACCAATGATATTCCTAATTGTGGTGGACTGGATTATGCGTCAGACAGTGGTGGGAAACGAGAAGACAGGAATATCCTGGACCGACGTGAAGAACCTAGAAGACCTGGATTTCGCGCTTGGATGATTTATGTTTGATGTCACACAAAATCGAAGACTTACAAGCGAAAACCGACAAACTGGTCGAAGAAGCAGCAAAGACAGGACTCCAGGTGAACATAGACAAGACGGAGGTTATGAAAATAACAAGCCAACCAAACAACAACAACAGCAAATCCAGCGCCAATCACCATCAACGGGAGGGATTTGAAAGAGGTTACTTCATTCACTTATCTCAACTACAAGAAGTCGAACGGACGAGGATGTCAAATCGAGCGAGAATCGGGAAGGCGAGAAACACATTCATCAACCTGAAATCAATCTGGAAATCTTCGTCACTCAGCATCACCAACAAAATTCGTCGGATTTTCAATACAAACGTCAAGTCAGTCAGTTCTTCTATACGGATCAGAAACTTGGCGGGTGGGTCACAAAGAATATTTCCAAAAGGCTGCAGACCTTTATTAACAACTGTCTTCGCTCAATACTGAAGATCAGATGGCCGGGCCGGAAAGAATCACCAACAAGGAATTATGGGAACAAACAAAGCAAGAACCAATCGCCCAACAAATATGCAGGAGAAAGTGGAGATGGATCGGACACTCGCTGAGGAGACCGCTGGGTGACATCGCACGCGCGTCAGGCCATTGCTCGAGTGGAACCCGAAAGGGAAGCGGCGAGTGGGACGTCAGTGCAAGGGTGACATGGAGGAGATCGTGTGAAGAGGAGTTGAAAGAATATGGACTAACATGGATGCAAGCGAAAAGTACAGCAGAAGACAGAAGCAAATGGAGAGGTGCAGTTGAAGCCCTATGTTCCACTAGGAACCCAAGGGAGCAATAATACAATAATAACAATACAGTTAAAAGTATTATCGGTTGCAATAGTCAGCAGACTTGTCTTGCTCTTGCATTCACATTGAACACCTCGCTGAGATTTCCGTTGTGGATCACCTGATACGTGGCGCTGTTATGTAGGCAGCTGTTGAATGAGGATGATAAAGAATTTGGCACTGTACGCCCTTGTGTTGAAGTATTTTCCAAATTAACTCTCAGTCCACGCTGTCGAAAGCATTTCAAAGTCGATGAATTTGAGATAGAGGTTCAACTGCCATTACATGCTTTACTCGATGAAGTTGCATAGAGTTGCTATTCGATCACTACTTGATTTGCCTTTCTTAAATCCAGCTCGTTATGCGGGACGGAGTTCTGCATACAGGGTGTCATTTTGTTCGTTAAGATGACTTAACTTAGTACTCTACTTGACGTTGACAAGATCATTATTCCACCCTAATAATGATAGAGGCTCATGTCACCCTTCATTGGTAGTTTGACAAGGTAGCTTTCCTTCCTTCCAAATCTTTCGCAATATTGGCGTTGGCACATCTGCCGCAGTCTCTGAATCAATTTACAGTGCTTTGGGGGAATTCTAGCTGGCCCCGCTGCCTCCCTGACTGAACTTCACTGGCGTGATCGCACTCAGAACTGCAGTTTTCGTTCTAGGTTTTGCGTCCACCTTGATAATCAGGTTCTGCTGAACATCTTTTATAGGTTTCGCCTGCTCTGCCCTATTTCCAGATGGAGACCTACTTATCTGATACAATAATCTGGGGTCTCTTTTACCTGCGGCCTGCTTGTCCTACTTCAGTTGCCAATGTGTTGTTGAATTCACGGAAAATACCCAACTAGGCGTGAATATAAAAAACAAGGTTCACAGCAGAGTCTCTTTTCGGTGAATTCATTCACTCACCTGTACAGTCGCACTTTCATATAATTATTTTGCGTGTGTGTGTACATTAGGATTGTTGAACAAACATAAAAATAAGTTATGGTTATTGTTTGTGTCATCAAAATGTTTCTTAAATGTGATGAATAATCACAATTGTAGCTAGGTGGGACAGAAATTGATGAGTATTGCCGGGCTTGGTATTGGACAGAGAACTAGAGAGCTAGTAAACTAGGCGAGGGTACATACTGCACTACGGTTTAATTCCTGATGCTTAGTGACGTTAGAATAAAGGTAGTATCATTGGTACAAAGCTTTCATTTAATTTCAGGATTTCATCATGAGCTGACATTAGTTAGAGAACCATTGGAAAACCTGGGAGTACTGGACAGCTGTTTCGTCCTAGTTTGGGACTCTTCAGCAGTACGCACCCACCGGGATTCGAACCCAGGACCTTCCGGTTACAAGGCGAGCTCGTATACCATTAAGCCACTGGGACCCGATCCAATGGTCCTTGAATTCTAACTTCTGCCAATTCACGACATAGCGCGACCGCTAGCCAATGTCTTCGGCGAGTATTTGTCCTCACACCCGACCAGCTGCACCCTACTGGTCACGACTTCCCACTGGAACCCAGGTAACTACCTACCTGAATAGGGCCAGTCGCCAGTGAGCATCTTATTGGTATTCAAGTGTTGGTTTGTACATTTAATTATTACGCACAATAATGTCAAGACTGTAACACTCTTCAACATCCCAATTCATATCTCAGTTGACATTCTCCAGTACTTCGGTGGCACAGTGGTTAGGACTCTCACCGACCATACACATGGTCCAAGGCTCGATCCCTTGCCGACGCACACCTCATATCTATGATTGGCCTGCAAAATTTGGGCTACCGATATCACGTGCTGAAAATTCCACACTTGTACCAAAAATACGGTGTGGAATCAAGCTGTAATTAAAAATAAATAAAAAAATAAAAAACAAAAAATTACTACAGAAATTACTCGTTCGCCTTATACGTCTCCTCTGATTGTGTCATAACTGGTGCTATGTCTTTGAATCAAACAGCGATATGTTGCATTAAACACAGTTTCCCTGATATCACAGTGCAAGAACAATCATTACAACATACTCTCAAATTTCACTCACCGTAGTAAGCTGTCTCGCGAAGTAGGCAATTTGACCACATAATATTGACAGGCCAAATATAACATTCACTATCCTGCTTAGTAAATTTTCCGTGAAATCGTTCACCACGAAGAGTGCAAAGCAGATAATGACTTGCAACATCGTCCATAGAAGTGAGAATGCAACCAATGGAACCTCATCTTTGTATGATAAGCATTCACATCCAATTATGAATGACGATACGAATGTCTGCGACGAAAATGAAAGTAGGGGAGAACAGTTGGCGAAATAACATCAAGAATCTCAAAATTGATACAAATATGACATGAAAAGGTGGAGCACATACTGTGGTGTATAGCACTCAGTTCAAATGACACAAGTAATGTATAAATATGAAATATGAAACACATGATCACTTATACTTAAATGAGAAGGTGTCTTAGAGAAATGCAGGAGACTGATGAATCGATTACCCCATAAAACCAATAACTAGTTGTATATGTATGGTGTGTCAGTTTGTTAACACTCATTGACACTCTCGCTAGTTCAGTATTTGTAGTTTTAATTTCAAATCCCGTCAGTGAAAGAAGTGAAGGGATTTCCGCTTCATTAACTGGGTTATTGGATGACTGTCTGATCAACTGTTTTCGTAACCAGTTAGTGAATTTCCATTGATTTCGTGCTATATGTCATTCTGCTCAGTTGACTCTACATTTCAGCTATGCATAGGTTTAGTTAGTTGAGAGATGGCAGTGGTGAAATCAAGAGCCTGCGTTTGGTCATATGTAGGAAACATAGTTTCAGTGTGTGTAAGGCAGTGCATCATGGCACACCATACCATCGGAAAGTCACATCAGCGTGTGTATTATTCGTTTTCATTTCTTTGAGCATATATCTGGGGAGATCAAAGGCCAGTCAGTTCGTTCGTAGAGCTTTTTTCCTCCGTCATACAAGGCAGTCATTCGCTCATCAATAATGAGCGAAGACAGATGCTAACTAAAGTATGAAGCCCGTTTGAAATGCGTAAAATGACGTGACAAATCTCTGAGCCGTACGGAAGCATTGACGACAACCGTTTTGAGAATTCGAATCTTCTTCCTTATGCTCAGTTCAGAAGATTGCCACACTGACTTGGATCTAATGAAGCTCGACCATGCCTTTTGAAACCTGCCTTTGACATCTTCATCCACAAGGGCTGTAGTTGAAATTATGTGCCTAGATAAGTGACGGTGGTGATCTGCAAATTCCTCTCGTTGATAGTGGTTGGTGCTTGTTAATTTTTCTGTTGTTGGTCAGGTATGATTATCACCTCTGCTCACTTGAAGTCATGCCTTCACTGTCAGCCTCTTTGCCAACATGTTAGTTTTCATGGGTGATGGTAGTCAGCCTTGTCATACTCCTGCCTCCACTACCACTTTAAACGGTTCACTGAGCTTTCTTTTGTCAACAACTTGACATGTGGCATTATCGCATGGCTGTTGAATGTGGTTGACAAAGATTAAGGGCACTCCACTCCATAGTGTTGAAGTATTTTGCAGATCACTCCATGGTCAAGGCTTCCGAAGGCCTTTCCAAAGTAGAGAGAGTTGGGGTGGGGAGTTGACTGCCTTTCTTTACTACGCTCGAAGAATGGTTTTTCCTGAATCCAGTTGGTTCTATTTGCAGTTCTGCATTCAGAGTATCTTTTAGTCTCTCCAGAATAACACGGTTCAGTATCTCGTTTGGAGTGCATATGCCATGATCCTAACTCGTACTACTTTCGTACTTTGACAACGTAGCTGTTTCTCCAATTAGTAGATAGATTTCCTTCCTCAAAGATTTTACAAAATATTAGTGTGACCATATGCGCCGAGGTATATGGGTTCGTTTACAGTGTTGCCAGCAAGATTCCGTCCGATCCTTCTAACTCCCCGTCTTACAGTGACTTTTTATCATTCAAGACAATCTATTTTGGAGGACTTGTCTTCACCTATCAGGAAAGATACCCTTATCAAGCCTCTGGTTTTATGCTCTCTAATCCTATGTTAGATATTTTCAAGAAAATGTAAGTGTAGGTCGATTCTAGAGTCGTTTGAAATGGTTGGCACAGTGTTATTGCGTTTCACCTTCTGTCTTAATCTCTTAGACAATAGTAAATTGGTCATCTGATATAATAACCTCAGTGAGTTTTAGGCTGATCCAAGGGTGACTTGGAGGAGGTCATGTGAAGAGGAAATGAAAGCATGTGGGCAGACTTGGAGCGGAGTGAAAAATTTGGCAGAACACCGAAGGCAATGGAGACGCACGGCTGAAGCCCTATGTTCCTCTAGGAGTTAAAGGATATAATAATAATAATAATAACCGCTAACAGAAAAGCCATTACATTACTGGTGTTAACAATGAAAATACTGAGGAGATTCAGATGTTTCCGTTTACTGATATGACCACTGATACACTTGGTTGTTACGCTGGCGAATTTCCCACGTAGTCGATTCAACAGCCTACTGTTCTAATCACTATTAGCAACAACTGTCCGACACTTTACCACCGAAATCGTGACGTCAGAACACAAGAAGTGAAGGTAGACCATATATACGTGTACTTTAAATGAAAGATATTAATTGCATCGAGAAATCAAAATTCAAATTCCAATAGGATTTCAGGATCACAAGTAGAATGAGAAAGACAAAACAGGGAGACTGTATCTAGCATTTTTTTAATTAGTACTATACAACACTTACCATTAGTAACAGGTATAGAAAGTTCCACGGAAACATCCTCGGAACTGATTTTATGAAGGCCCATACCATTTCGAGGACGAAGTAAATTAAACTACAAAGATATAATGGAAGACAGAGAACAATGGTGTGGTAAATATAACTATAAATCATGTCTAGAAATAATTGAACAGACAAAAGCCTTTACAATTCCAGTTTGATGCGCTAGCCTTTGCTGACCTTTAAGTCCTCATATGCGATTTCTAATTTCAAAACTAAACACAAATGTTCTCGACGGGTTAGTGATGCTCAAGTTATTCTTCGATGGTATACCTCATTCAGTCTTACAACAAAGACTGCAAAGCAGCTCACAGCTTAGAAATATACTAATAGCTGTGGTGTAAGCATTGTGATATTCCTGACGGACGTCTGAGGTGATGTTTCTCGACCGATGTTTCAGTAACCAACCACCTGTTCCAGATAACAGTGATTTGATTGATTCTCTCCAACAACCTTGCGTGTATCTTAGCCTGGTGTGCTCTACATTTTGATAAATCTGGATCCTGCACGTATCTGACTAGCCTCAATCAACACGTAGGCACTAGCTGCAAACTGCACTGATAACCAATACAGAATATTCAACATGCTAAATTGTTTTATTAATTTTGACTATCGCCTTCCAACTGGTTGTCGTGCTTATCACTCAAAATGCCTTGTAGGTTGTTTGAATGCCACTCATATAATCATTCAATAAGAACATCAAACAGGCTTCTTTACACCCATCCATATGTTGACAGTGTGGAGACAGTAATTTCCATCACGGTCTCAACATCATTTCTCGCTCCGAATAGTTACTCAGTTCTGCTGACTGCTTTCGATCTCTGGTGATTTCCCTCTTCTCTGTTCAACTCATTCTTCTTAGTTCATCCTGAATTGATGAGACAATTCGACCTGTTGCTTAAACTCGCAGTCGTGTGTCAGCCTCTACATAAATCATTGTTCATCTTCAAATAAACTAAGTTAGACAGTCAGTCATACATTCACTTCAGTACATTCACTTAGCTGTATCATCAACGAAGAAACTGCAGAACAATTAACACTCAGACAAACATTGCTGGAAAGCTCAAAATCATTACATTCATACATTAGACTGCAAACAGAAAGCCATTCAACAAAATGGAATATGCTCATAATAAATGTATAGTTACCTGGACATCCAAAGAAATATAGTATTATGTTCAACCCAAAAGGAGACAAAGAGTCTAAGGAGGAGATTCAGTGTAGAAACAGTTGTTGGTTATTGGACATACTCTTGCGTGATCAGATATGTTAGTCCACTCGCGATTCCCAATTGAATAACAACAATAGAAAATACCTGATGGCATAGAGAAATGATATCGAATCCTGAATTTTCACTAGGAATAAGATTTTATTTTGATAAATTACACAGTGTTGTACGGTAATATTAACTGATGACGTTACGAGCACAAATTATTGCTCATAATCATAAGCCTGAATTTTACTGATAGTCAGGCGATTACGTGAAATGAAATATATTTAGTTCAAATAGTGATAATTAACTGGCATCATACACTCTCTTGATTCTATACCATTCAATGGAATATATGAAAAATATGGAACTCACTTCTCCAACATTATATTGTGTAGCCAAAGCTCGTCAAAACGGGATCACATCTCAGCCAAGATAGATACCACTCCTCAAATATTTCATACTGTGCACTCGAATATCACCCGAAACCATATTCAGAACATATTATACCTCATTCGTTTGATCTCTTACTCACTTTAATCATCTCTTGACAGTGTCAGGATACATATCATGAGAATTCCACTTAATTTAACATTATCGACGTCACTGATAAGTGAGTAGCCTTCAAAATAAGGACGGTCACTCTCCGATGTCGTCAGAAGTTAGACGAGGTGTATGGAAAACTACTGGTCGGTGTAAATCACGGATGCTGTCTTCGACAAGGAAATATTCATGAGGAAGGCATGAAGCTTAGAGAGAACTACAACTAAAGAAACAGTGGTTTCTGTGTGTCTGTGGATTGACTATAAGTAACGACATTGTAAGTGTACTGAATCCGATTAATTTACACTACCCTATATTAGTTCGATGTGGGAACTCCGATCTTAATGTCTATTTGCTGGAGTCTAATTGATATATACAATCTTACAAACTGTAATTTAGTGTGAAAATTGATGAGATTCCCAGGTGAGACTGGACAGTACATTTTCAAAAGACACATTCGCTCTATCGTTGAATGAATTACACTCACGACAGTTCTGACGGAGAATACAGTGTCCGTTATAACTGTTTACTCACAAATACCTGCCTAACGTTTACAACATATCCAACAGATTTTGGAATAGTTGAATGTGTTATATAATGTACCCCAAAATACCTTGAATTGCATAGTTGTGATGGATCGGTGATTTACCGAAATTAACGTAAGAAAATGATTTGTATCAAGACAGTCAATAACTCATAAATAAAGCATACGGCTTACATTCAGTGCGAAAGTTATCCTCGATTTTGAGTTTGGAAAACCATCCAGAGACAGCAGGACTTCTGAATTCTGACAACAGCAGTCATAATGTAGTTCTGATATATTTATGCTGACTGAGTTATCGCTTCCACGAGTAGAACGCATGTGTTCCAGATGGAAGACTTAATCAACTATCGATCAAAACTCCTGGACAAAGAAATATATATATAGGTGTGTTCAGTATTTAGTTTATCAGAAGGAATGTGTGTCTAAATGCTTTTCACACAACTTAAATAGTCACAGTCTTGTATTATCAATTCAATTGTTTCTGATTTGTGAAATTCTACACTTCAGATGTGTTATGTCGTTTGTAATTGGTTGGTGAAATAGACAGTGAAGAGGAATGAGTATATTGGTAGTACACTATATTATTATCAATGTCTTACCTACCTAAATGTACCTTGCTCAATGTGAATCGAAGAAATGTCTGATCAGTTCATATTTTTTAACGATCATAAGTAGACAAATGATTAATTCAATAGATTAGAGATTATCGGCTGGTCGTGGCATTGGTTCAGCTGCAAAATCTGAATGATAAATAGGTATTGTTGGATAAGCATTAGATTGCGAATCCAGCAATTGGTTTTGATTACTCTAATCTAGACCAAATTAGAAACATGCAATGTTGACAACTGAATGTATATAACTTCAAAATTGATAGGATTCTACTAATTCATCAAATAGTGTTACGGCAAAATGCTAGCAAAAATTAAATCATATTGTCAGCCACGTCTCATAAACCGTTAATGCCCAGCTCTTGCTGCACTCGGGCTCACGCTGTTCCTTGAAGTTTCTCAGAAACGCTTAGTAATAACGGACGCAAAAACCAAAACACCAATTGGCGACTCGAGGATTCTTTATTGTAACACCAACATATAAACAATGTTACAACTAAGGTCTGTGAATAAATATTACAATAATGAATCACAATATTACTTCTGACGGTTTTCTGCTGACTTCTTTCTGAACAGCGACCGATGTGACGATGACTGTCATATTGATGCCTCCGCGAAAATTGGGGAAGTTGGTTTTGAGAAAACAACCATGAATTGATCGTTCAATCTTCAACTACATTGACACATATTAATCAGTTTAATAGATAAATCACACCGTCTAAATGCACAATTCACCGGATGACATTGTTCAAATGTCACCAGTCATAAGCGACGCGTACCTGGACACATTTAAACGGTTTACCCAAAATTATAATAGGGTTACGACAAAATTCTAGCAATCATTACATCGCCAAGAAACAAGGCATTACAATGGTAAGTAGACTTCTCGATATTAAATCCAATTGGTCGCAAATACAACGAGAGAATAAAACGATTTGTGCAATTTCAAAATTCCGAATAGATAATGTAAAAAAGACGGATTTGATCTCACAGCTTTTCTCAATAATTTCTACTTAATAATTCCCATTGTAGCATTAAGAACACAATTTTCAGCGAAGAGACTCTTTTCAACGAATTTATTATCAAGCTGTACAATCGTATATATATGGTTTTATAAAGAAATTATATCCGGTGAGGGAATTAGGTCAAAGGTGTAAATACATGAAATAATAATAGTATGAAATAAATTTTAAATATTTGTGATTAGGTTCATAGTTTAAGTCAAGTGGAACGATAATTAATGTCATATATAAGATAATACATCAGGTGTATAGATTTTGGGGAGAGGCATATAATTGTAAGATTAATAGACGAATGTAAAATGTTACGTAACATGGTGTGAAATTTGATAACATAGAATTTAATATTGTAAAAATAAAGATAAAAAGTATACACATGAATAATTTTTTGGTTTAAAATGTCAAGTAGATCAAGTGGAAAAGATTCAGAATGAGAGTCGTAATAATAATAATAATGATAATAATAATAATAATCGAAGTAATAAGGGAAAAGTACATAGAATAATAAAATAAATAAATGTCTATCCCTCTACGACCAAGGCAGCAGTAGGGATTGTACATACTTCTTTTGTACACAAAGGTCTGGCTTAAAGTCATGAATTGCCAAGGCCTCAGCTGTCTTTAGAAGTCTGTAACGAAGAAAACGCGGGAAGTTGGCATGAATTCTATATAAGACCTTGAAATCATGGTCAGGGTTGACCGCGTGACAGGAGTCGATGAGGTGTTCTAAGATAGAGCTTCGCACACATTTCCTTTCTCCCTTGTAAAACCAAGCTGGAATATGTTCTCGTATCCGTGTGGAGAGCATTCACCATTGAAAAGGAATCGGAACTAAGTATTCCGTTTCTTGATGTGTGCCTTAGCAGACGGAATGACGGATCTCTCAAGAGATCGATCCACCGGAAACGTACATGGAACGGACAACTAACTAATTTTTACAGTTGGGTGCCTATTTCCAGGAAAAGGAATTTAATACATTCACTCTCTTTTAGGATAAGGAAAATTTGTAGTTCTGATTGCGTCGACTCAGAACTGGACTTCCTGAAAGCCACACTCGCAGAAAACGGTTACCCTAACCGATTTATTGACAGCAACATGAAAGATAAGCAGTCTAAGCTGGTCACTGACTCAGTTCCAAAGAAAACCCTATTCGTGAACTTGGAATTCAAAGGAGATCAAGCTTCTGATATGCTCAAAAATCGTCTTTCTAAATCAGTTAGTAAAACGTTCCCTGCAGCTAGATTACATATGACGTTCACGAGCCGCAAACTGTTCTCTACCTCTGTAAAAGATAAGCTCCCCCGTCTGACCGCCTCCATGTGCATCTACCAGTTCACCTGCTCTTGTGGAGCAAGGTACATTGGCCGTAGTCAGAGAATGCTCTCCACACGGATACGAGAACATATTCCAGCTTGGTTTTACAAGGGAGAAAGGAAATGTGTGCGAAGCTCTATCTTAGAACACCTCATCGACTCCTGTCACGCGGTCAACCCTGACCATGATTTCAAGGTCTTATATAGAATTCATGCCAACTTCCCGCGTTTTCTTCGTTACAGACTTCTAAAGACAGCTGAGGCCTTGGCAATTCATGACTTTAAGCCAGACCTTTGTGTACAAAAGAAGTATGTACAATCCCTACTGCTGCCTTGGTCGTAGAGGGATAGACATTTATTTATTTTATTATTCTATGTACTTTTCCCTTATTACTTCGATTATTATTATTATTATCATTATTATTATTATTACGACTCTCATTCTGAATCTTTTCCACTTGATCTACTTGACATTTTAAACCAAAAATTATTCATGTGTATACTTTTTATCTTTATTTTTACAATATTAAATTCTATGTTATCAAATTTCACACCATGTTACGTAACATTTTACATTCGTCTATTAATCTTACAATTATATGCCTCTCCCCAAAATCTATACACCTGATGTATTATCTTATATATGACATTAATTATCGTTCCACTTGACTTAAACTATGAACCTAATCACAAATATTTAAAATTTATTTCATACTATTATTATTTCATGTATTTACACCTTTGACCTAATTCCCTCACCGGATATAATTTCTTTATAAAACCATATATATACGATTGTACAGCTTGATAATAAATTCGTTGAAAAGAGTCTCTTCGCTGAAAATTGTGTTCTTAATGCTTATACTCTCCATTTATAAGTCCATGAACATTATTGTACAATGGCCAGTAAAGCCAAAGTTATATTTTCATCAGAATTATTGAGTAGGGTGGATGGAAATAAATAGGATTCAACTAAAAAATGGATTGAAAGGCAGTTATTTCTAATAATGTTATCTGTGTGTGTGTCAATGTGTACGTGAGTATTGAAGAATCATTTAGAAGGTAAAAGGTTGCTTTCCGTTTGTTTCTCTATTTGATATACCACACAATGAAACAGTATAATTCACTCGATTACTCATCGAAGACAAGTTATTGTCTATAATTGTTCTTAATTAGTATAATTATGAGCAATAAACTGTTTTCATAAAGTCATTCAGAAAATTACAATGGTGTTTAAATCACCTTGGTCTGACTGGTAGGCTGTACTGTACTGGTTGATCCGAGTGATATGATAGAATAGAGTTTCATGAGAATGAAGTACTTGTAAATGAATCTAAGGTTGACCAGTGACTGACGATAGGATAAAGATGCTGAGAGTTTTATCGTGGAATTGTGACGAGTAGTGTATACCGAGTTGAGTGCAAGGACGAGTATTCGCTGGCCATATTGATTTTTGATTTCAGCTTCATTCCACACCGTATTTTTGGTACAAGTATGGAATTTTCAGCATGTGATATCACAAGCCCAAATTGTGCAGGCCGATCATAGATATCAGGTGTTCGTCGGCGAGGGCTCAAACCCCGGACCATGTGCATGGCCGGCGAAAGTCCTAACCACTGTGCCACCGACGACGAATTGTGAATTGGCAGATAGTATGTGAAAGAAGAGTTCTGTCACTTTTGTTGAGTATGATTTCCTTTCAGATAAGTTTATTTTACACAGCGTTGATGAATATTGAATTTCTCCATTCTACAGAATGTCTGGAAGTAGTTATACTCAAAAATCTCCTCAACGTGTGGCCTAATATATCCTGATTTACTTGGCATATCTGTTTAGAGATATTTTCCTGGTAGGTTCTCTGCCTGACATAGTTTCTTCTTCCTTACTTACCTTTTCCAGCCAATTTTCTGATCTTCACTGTCGAGGCAGCGAGCATTCCTCAGCAATCTGTCAGAAATGCTCTCAACAAATTAAATGTCAATTCAATCAGATCGGTGAAGAATCCAGTGATTTCAAATCGGTATTAGAACTTCAGCTGTGCTTTCTTGTACTAAGTGATATACACACATTGACTTTGCTTTTCAAATGATGCCACCCATTTAGGTTATGGCAACTGGTGTCTGTTATTCTTGACGACGTTTTTTTATCAACTCTATCTTCCGTACTGTTTCTGTTCTTTGAGGAGTGCTATCTTCACCCACCCGCTAAAATTCCTTCTTCAAGCTAAAGATCGTCTAGCAAACTAAGCGCTGTCAGTTCAGGCATTTTAAAAATCAAAATAAATTGACTAATTATATATGATTACAATAACAGTAATAAGTCAAAATCAAGTCGATCAATAGATTTGTTGGTAGGTTCTTTCACCACTGGAAAATTAG